AATGTGTGGGGTTTGTATCCTGTTTTCCCTTGAAGGGAGATCTTAGAAAGGTCTTGTCATCAGAAGAGAGAACTTAGAAAAAGCAGTAGCTCCCAGATGGAAAAAAAATTAAAAAAAATATTCAACAGATATTTGAAACACAAAGGAGAAAGCTCAGATCTTTGAAGATGTCATGTCTGATTTCCAGGAAAGTCTGATGTCTTGTTATGCCACTGCTTGGAGCTAAGGAATCAAAGCTCTTAAGTGTTGAACCATGCTGCAACCCTGCAGGAGGGGCTGAAAAAGAGAAGAGGGAGAAGATTGGCAAAAGACAACTGAGCAGGGTATAAAGACAGGGGATCTTGTTAGCGTATACAAATATCTGGGGGGGGTGGGTGTAGAGAGGAAGGGGACAATCTCTTCTCAGTGGTGCCCAGCAATAGAACAATAATGGGTATAAGTTAGAACATAGGAAGTTCCACCTCGAGGAGAAACTTCTTTACTGTGAGGGTGACAGAGCCCTGGCAGAGGCTGCCCAGGGAGGTTGTGGAGTCTCCTTCCTTGGAGACTTTCAAAATCTGCCTGGATCCGTTCCTGTGTGTCTGCCCTAGGGGATCCTGCTCTGGCAGGGAGGTTGGACTAAATGATCTCTAGAGGTCCCTTCCAACCTCTGACATTCTGTGATTCTATGACAAGAGGATCAGATCTGGGAAAGGTTTCTCAGAGTGTATGTCTCTGTAAATGCCCAGCATTTTTGGAGCCTAATCCAAATATTTCCTTCAGCATGTGGGAGTCCTCGAGACCTCAGCTTCTGACCCAACCTGACCTGAAAGCTGAGCGGGTAACTATCCAGTGTCATCAGCACATCTAGGAACGAGCCAGTACAGAAATCCTGGACTGAGGTAATCTCATCCTGTCACACCTCATAAAGCCTTGTAGGAACATATCTATCTGGGAAATCTGTGTCTAATGATTCAGAAACTTGTTGTAAAGGTCAGTATTTGTGACTTTTAATTTTTAATTATTATCCCAAAGAACTGAGGAAGCCCTATGCTTTCTTTTTAAAACTAATCTGGAAAGACAGACTAAAAGACGAGCACTAATAATACTGCTTGGATGATAGATGCAGGAAAAAGGAGCATACTGTAGGTGTCAGGCAGGTTATTTCACACCAAGTACAAGCCAGGAAACAGGAGAGAGCTGGGGGCTCCCTGTAGTGCAGCCCCATCAGCCTGCTTTCCCCGCAGAGCTACCTGGAGAATGCCTCGAGTCCTCAGTGAAATACAAAGCTGAACATCACAATTTGTTTCATCAGTAGGATTTCACAGAATGCATTTGAGTTTTTATTTGTGGTTTTTTTTTTGTATGTCTGTTTTAGTTTTTCTCAGTGGAACAAAAGCAGAAAGTATTTAGACTTCATGTGCCTTTTTTAGTCAGGCATCTCTGACATTTTCTACTTCTAGTAGAAAACCAATTTATTTGATTTATTTTTTTAGAGTAGATGTTAACCTGCTTATATGCAAGGTCTTTATATGGGGTAATTTCTGAAAGAATTAATCTGTGACTCCTTACAAATTCCTGGAAATTTAGGTGACTGAGTGTTCAACCCAGATCAGGGCTCAGAACTGATCAATACACAGAGTCTCTTTGGTTGGAAGAGACCTTTAAGATCATTGAGTCCAACCATTATCCGAGGACTGCCAGGTCACCACTAAACCATGTCCCTAACCACCAGATCAACACTTTGTTCAAATGCCTCCAGGAATGGTGATTCTACCACTGTCTTGGGCAGCCTGTTCCAATGCCCAATGACTCTCACTCTGAGTATTTTCTTGGACTTGTTTAAGAAAGTTTATAGGATTGTCTTTCAGATAAAAAAAAATTAGTAATTATTTTCAACACACATCTAGAATGGGGAAAACCAGAATTTTTTAAGTTGTTGCAACACACTTTATTTTGTCAGGCAAATAGTATTTTAGATATTCAATTAAATAGCACTATGTTAAACTACATTTTGTTCTTTCTTACACACTATATAATGCATATTCACTGTAATAACAGTTTCATCATGCTAGGAACTTATACACATACCTACACTTTTAAAACAAGATTTTCTTAATAAAATACGGATATCTACAATGACAACAATTGCAAAAAAACATGTTAGGTCAAGATTTCAGCAAACTTTACAAACTACACAAAATAAAAATAGCCCCCCAAAAATCAGTACACAGTGAAGTTCTTAGCAGACACCGTATCTTTACATTTGGTGAAGTTATGCCTAGAAGTCATTTTGCATTTGTAAAGAATAAAATTATATACATTATTTAGTAATCTTCAAAATAGGAAGAATTAAATAGCAAGAACAATATTACAGTCTTAAGTTTTGGTGTTACCTACAGTAGAGGGGCTAATTTAAACAAATAAAAATCGCAGTTTGTCTATTCTGTACATTTAGGGCCAAACCCTCAGCTGGCATAAACCGCAGTAGCTAAATGGGCAGCATGGAAGTTACATTAGTTTATACCAGCTGAGCATCTGGCTCCTGACTACTCTATACACAGGGGAAGGCTGCTAAAGCGTGGAAGCTTGGACTGGTTATGCACTGACAGGAGCTTATTATATATATACGCTGAAGTTTTCATGCAGCAGGAAAAATGTTAGTTTAAGTATAATCCCTTAAACAGTCATACCATAATAATGGTATATGAAGCAGCTTTAAAAATATTATTTTATAATCGTATGAAACTCTAAGCTATGCTGATTGTTTTAACGGAATCCCTTATTGCCAATATTCTATTAGAAAACAGTGTAACTATAATTTCTGAGGCCTAATGGGGGCCTATTAAAATATCACTGTACCTAACCACTTAAAGTGTAAATTGTACCCTTAAATGCCTGTTAATCACTGTATTCCATCTGGAAGCAATTATGATCCTCACAATAGTCATTAATATCACACTAACTCTGCAGTGAATCTGCTGGGGAAATAGGAAGAGCATGGCAGCATACAGAGTATATGCACTAATGTCATTCCAGGAGGTAGTTCTATTTTGCGGAACTCCATTTTTGGTTTGTCACTTACACACGTCCAAGGTCAGTCATCCTCAGGGCAAAAAAAAAAAAAAAAAAGAAAAAAGTAGTTTTCTGCGCTGAAAGTCAGCTGAGAAAAAAAAACAACCCAAAAAACCTAAACCCAATACCTATCTAATTTTTTTTTTTTTCCTCCAGAGGTTGCTTTCCCAGCTCTTGGGGCCAAATCTAAGCTCACTGAGGTCAAAAAGAAAGTTTCCCAATAGTTTCTCTAAGAAGGATCCTAGATACTGGTGGCTTCATATCGCAGAAATACGCATTTAGGCCTTGATTAAGGAAAATACTTAAATAGCTGTCAAGGTATGAGCAGGTTGGCACTGTGACCCCCTTTGAAGAAAGTGGCGAGCACACAAATTCAAAGAGCTCCCACCAAAGGGACTCAGAGACAGTGGTTGAGTGGTTTGATTGAGGCCCATTTCGCCACTATTCTGCATCAGGTGGTGATAAAGTGAAAATATCTAGCTGATATCATGTAAATACACGAGTTACGTCCACCGCACTAGATCTGAATTCACACTGGCACAAACCCAGAGGTGTTCTCCTTTACGCCTGTGTAGCTACTCCCAGAGTATTCTAACAGAAGGAGAATCAAAATAATGCCCAAAGACATTTCAAAAATATTTTTTTCTTATCTGGGTTCAGAAATTATTCTGATTAATTTTATTTTTTAAAAATTTACCTTTTTGTTTTTCTTTTTTTTATTTAGCTTAACATAGCTCAGTTTTGAGCTGAATGTTTATATGTTTTGTATAATACCATAAAATACATGGAATAAACCACAATTTTTCTAAGGTATTCATACATTTTGAATCCATTATCCATCTCCTTTAAACAGATTCAGTGGCTTCTGAAACACTTACATAGTAAAATGAGCAGGATTCGACCCTATTTTTTGGCATTAGTGTTGCTAAAAAAAAAAAAAAGGTAGCTTTTCCCAGGATGGCTTGATGCACATTTACCCAATTTTCAACTAAAAATACTTCATTCAACCTGACAGCTGCTTCTTAAACAAAAATATTACTGTTTAAAAAGGCCTCTCAAGTTTTTATACTTTTTGGTTTTTGACCCAAACCCATTTTTCAGTTTTCTTTTTCCCTCATTCTTTTTTTTTTCTTTTCCTGATCTTCTTTTCAGCAGAAAACTGAAAATAAGAGGAAATTGTGAAAATAACATTGAAAAGAAAAAGGGTACAAAGACTGGAAAATGGAAATGGTTTAATTTAAAAATTCTAGTTACAGTATTTGCAACTTTGAGAAAACAATTGAAAAAATAACATTTTAAAACTTTCAAAGACACTCATGACTTGTTTCCATATTGCAGACCAGCTCCAATTTAATCATGGAACAGGTTAAAGAAAATCTATGTTTTTCATTTCTGAGTACATGTTGTAGGATACACTCACATACTATCCTTTGAAAAAAAATGGCGTGTAATTCTTTGAAAAATAGCTAAAGTACCTAAGCCACTTAGGTGTTTTTCAAAATTGTATGCATACTGAACATTTTCATGTGAGCTTTGTGCCACTTATAAAGCTATGTAGTGTTATAGGACACCCTATTTTAATAAAAGTCAATATGAGCAGAGATATTTTAAGTTACATTCCAGAACTCATTAATTTATTACAACTCATACTATGCACAATAATCAGTGTCTCCTCTGATAAAGTATATTTTTTTTGTTTTTTCTTCTACTCATTCCTTCATTTGACCTCTGAATGAATGAAACGTATCTACTATATTTCACTTGCTTCCTATCCGCATGCATTCACATGATTTCACCAATGAGTGAAAGATGTAAACCCAATATTGAACAGTAAACGAGAAGAAACTCATGTTCTTAAGTGCAGTGCAAGGAAATCTTAGTACCATCCTACTTTGAGCATGCCTCTTAACCCAGATTCTTTCACCACCAGTTATGTTGGTACTGTTCAGAGTTGCAAGATAATGCATTGATTTTGTAAGAAAATCTATTCAGCTGTAATTAAATACCGCATCTTAAAGGTGAATCTGGTTTAAGATGAATACCCAGTTTTGCTTCTAGGACAGAGCCCAACCTAGTGTCGGCAAGCATCTAGGAAAGAAAATGCTCTGAAATATTTTTTTAAGTTACACTGCATTTTACTGGGAGACTAATCCTTTCTGAGGCTTGTTTAATTTATTTTTTAATCCTATTTGCTCAAATTTGTTCTCAATAGACAAATATAAGCCCCCTACAGTGAGCACAAACATATCTATTACTACAAAATAAAATTAAGATCCAGGTAACTGATTCCTTCTGTTTCTACTTTTCCTGCTATTGATAAGGGCCTTTAGTTTGCTGTAGTCCCCTCTCATCTTCTGGGATTCCTCCCTTTGCTGCCCTTGCTGTCTACTGTCCTTGCAGTACTGGTTAATCATCTGCATTTCTGAGTGGCTGAAAGCTCCCACAAAGTCCTTGGGGTGAAACTGCAGCGCTCGCACCGAGCCGGCCCAGGTCCAAGGGGACCACTTGTCGGTCATGAAGGCCACCATCTCCGAATCCAACACTTTGAAGTTGATCTTTGCTAAGGTCTGCTTGAAGTTGTTCTCTGTTGCGATGCAGTGGTAAAGCCCTCGGTCGCTGTCTTGGACAGAGCGAATGAGGAGTCCTTGCTCAGTCGCTATGATCCTCTCATTCAGCTTGACCTGAGGTGCAAAACGGAAAAAGGAACTTTTTAGGGAATGTGTGGAATAACACAGTATTGGAACTCTCGATTAAGTCTCACTTCAAACACCTCTTTCTTTCTTAACCGTATTATATTTCACTTTATCACATGTGCCAGAGACCACTGTTTCTGCTAATTTTCAGAGAGAACTTACCTCAAGGTAGTTAAATGTTGCTAAAAAAAAAATTACTTCAATTTTTTTATCACGCTACAATAGATTTGATCAGAATCACACAGAATCACAGAATGTTAGGAGTTGGAAAGAACCTTGAAAAATCATGTAGTTTAAACCGCAGGTCAAAGCAGGATCACCTGGAGCAGGGCACACAGGAATGTGTGCAGGTGGGCCTTGAATGTCTCCAGAGAAGAGACGTCCCTGGGCAGCCTGTGCCAGTGCTCTGTCACCCTCAGAGTGAAAAAGTTTTTTCTAGTATTTTTGTGGAACCTCCTATGTTCCAACTTCAGCCCACTGCCCCAGAGTAGAGGGGCAGGAGGACCTCTCTCGACCTACTAGCTACTCCCCTTCTAATACACCCCAGGATGCCATTGGCCTTCTTGGCCAAGAGGGCACATTGCTGGCTCATGGGCATCCTGCTGCCCACTAGAACCCCCAGGTCTCTTTGCCCTGTGCTGCTCTCCTGAACTTTGTACAAGTTATTGCTTCTATGCCTTTCTTCTCAGATCAATAAAAAGTCCTGAGTGCTGCAAACCTTCCGTTTGCAATTAGTAAGGTGTGAAGGAAAAATTCATTAACTATAGGGGCTGACAAGAATTTTCTGATAGCTGTTCTGGTCTGACAGAAACTACTGGGGCTGAAGAGTTTAGTCCCAGTTACATCAAAGAGTCCACTCTCAGTTATTTGAGTGAAGTGCTGGTCACTGTACTGCATCCACACCAATTCTCCAGCTTCACTGTAGCCAGACCGTCTGATGACAGCAGAAATGCTCTGTTGCCTTGGTCCAGGGAGTGGATGAGATGCTCACTGAAGTCCCTTCCAGAGCTACTGCTCACACTACTCACCTCTTTCCTCCTGTCATTGTCTTTCTGTAGGAGCCATTTAATAGAAGCCTGAGGAGATTTGGGTGTGCATTCCAGAAAAGTGGTGTTGTTTTTCACTCCATATTGAACTATTTCTGCAGCATTTCTGTATGCTAGAAAGAAAAACAAAACAGGTCAGGCAACTGTAAATGGTAATTTGATGTAGAAAGCAGGTAACTGCAACACAGGTAAAATGTTTGCTATGCAAGTAAAATGAAGTATATCTGATCCTGACATTGGCCAATAATCAATAATTTAGGGCACAAAATTCTCAAAGAAATGAAATGAAATGTGAAGAAGCACATCCAGTTCCAAACACCAGTGTTTTCAACCCGACATGGTCTGTTCTAAGCAAGTAGCATACCTGTGGGCTGGTAAGCTCTGCTGACAGGATAACTGAGCTCAGGGATATTGTTCCCTGAAATGATCTCATTCTCTTCTACTACAAGAACATCTGCCAAGAACCATCCAAAGGAGAATGAAGCATTTAATACATTTCTTCACACTTCACCAGTTACGAGGCAGGGAGTGTGGGTGTGTGGCTCAAAACCCAGCGGCATGCGGTAGAGAAGGCTCCGTCTACCCCAGCTGCGGTGCAGTCTGACGGGGAGGCGAGAGAGGGCAGACTTGGCTACCGCTCCTCCGCTTCTCCTGCAAAGCGAGGAAGGGACTTGGCTCTAAATCTGAAAGGCAATGGATACGTAGACAGGCCAGCTACAGAGAGCAGGACAGATTTATAGCCCTCCAGCAACACCGGGGCAAGTGCTGAGCATATGTCATCGCTTAGACTTGTGCCCCTTTATAGTCTTGATAGATCAACAACTGGCAGTTACCGATAGGAACTTGTAGATGCTCATAGCTTGGACCAAATCATGAGATTTTTTCCTGAAAATACACTTCCAGATTTAAAAGCTTACCTTATATATGAAATGCAATTTTATTTTGTTTTTTAAACAAAGGAGCAATGGATACCAAATAATATGAGAAATGCAAATACCTAAAGGTCTACACCTCTAAAATTTGACTCTGTTTTTGCACAGCCCCAAACTGTTTTTCCTCAGACTCTATCTCCCAGTTTTTTCAGCTTCTTTCATCAACTGACAGGTGAAACTGGAATCTATTGTACTAAAGGAAGGAGACTTTCCTTGGTTCTAGTCCTCCAAAGTTTTTAGCACATTTATGAGGTAGTACCAAAATCAACTCTAACTTTTAAGAGAATAATATGGAAATATTTTGCATTCAAAGACCATAAGCTAACAAAAAGCTTATCTGTGGGCCAACCTATGTGCCGCAGTGGAACAGTGAGAATATAGAACCTGTAACGTATCATTAATTTTATGTACACTGCAATTAGGCATACCACAGAAAGGCATTTTTGTCTGTTTAACTGATCAATATATTTCTAACTTCTTACCTATTCCATACTGCTACTACTCATACATACCAAGGAAAACATTGAGAGAATACAAATGCATTTCTCTAATGGCCCCAAGGCTAACACAAGCATAACAATATTAAATGGAATATTTGAAAAGCAGTCAGACAAGCCCACCAGTTCTTGATGATCTATTTAAAAATGCAATATGCCAAAAATTTTGAGTTAAGAGGTCTCAGGCATGCAACCTATCATATTTGAAGACTTTTTTTCAAGATTATGGTTCCCTATGAACTTGGACTATTTCTTGCTATTGCCTGACTCTCTGGTCTTTTGTCCTTTAGGTATATTTAATTTTTCCTGCAAACACAGTAATTTTGCTACAAATAGCTTTAATTATATTTTGAAAGAGCCTAAGTTGCTATTTCCTTTTATCTTTTTTTTCCACTGGGGAAACACCTGCCATCTACCTATACCATATCCCAGTGCTGTCACCAAAACATCCTTTACAAAGTTGCTAAAACCTATAAATACATCTACATTTTAAAAAAAAAAAAAGTGTTTGGAAAACAAAAAAATCCCCTGCTTCACAGGGCTGTCAAGGCTTAAACATTTGTTTTCCCTCAGCCCAGAAAGCAGACAGTTGACATTTTCACATTTTCCATGTTGACAAAGGAGACACCCACCCTCAGGACAAGCAATAGGTGAGTGGACACAGCAGATGTCTGCAAGGTAGGACGTGCAGCTCAAGTTACTTCATGATTCAGAGCCTAAGCTGTAATATGGATCTCTCAGAGCTCAGGTGCATGCTCTAATGGTGGGGTCATCTTTTGTAATTACCTGTTGAAGCTATTCGGTTTCGTATTAATGACCTAATACTGAGTCAGGGGGAAAGACCTGCTGGCGCTGTAGATTGGCAGATAGAGCAGGATTAGCCACGTACGGGCTGAGAGATCTACACTCAACTGGTTGTTGTGGTCTGTTTTGATTCAGGAGATTCTTCTGAGATCCCGCAGAGGCCATTTCAGTGAAATTATTATTAGCTGAACAGCTAACATGTAACTCTTAACGCATTGTTCTTTTACTCAAAAAAAGAAGTAAAAAGTTTAGTTAGGTCTATTATGAGGTCTCCATATGGTGCAGGTGAGAATGCACTTCAAAATGCAGGCTCAGAAACAGAGGTGAAAGGAGCAAAATTCTCTAATGTGTGCCCTTGGTTTGATGACATATATTGCCAAAGCCTAGCTCAGACATGCATGGAGTTAGAGAAGATTAATCTGTTGTTATCTATGCGCCTACTCTTACTATGACTCTGGCAATATTTGACTGTCCACCAATCTGTAGACAGTGGCAGCTGGGAGGGCAGAGCACTGGCTCCCCCTGCACCATGCCACCCTGACTAAACAATTGCATAGCTGGAAATAAGGGACTTAACAAAGAAATTTGGAATGGTTTATTTTCCCATGGAAAGGGAAAAAAATAATCATAACTCAAAAGACAGGTCGAACACCTGCCGTTTGCTGAAAAATCTGCTCCCAAACACAACACGGCCCCAAGTATGCAGAATAATTCTGAGGTCCAAGACTTAGGAAGAAGAATTAACAAAGACTGAACAGATTTATAAGTAGCATAGCCCTCAAATTAGCTGTACCTGTTTCTAGTCAACACTGCCAGTTTCTGATTTCATATATGCTGAACTACGTAGTTCACGGTTCATCATTTTATAATAAATATGAGTTTCATGTAATTGCAAGAAAGATGCTAAAATCAAATGGAAACAAAACCCAGACTTGGAAAATGATTATGCTTTACCAGTAAACCACACAGATAATGTGAGTTATGATGAATCACATAAAGGAAAGCCATGCATTCTTTATATAGTATGAGGATCTCTAAATTACAGTACCTTTCAGGTTGAAACCTCGGCACTGAGTCAGAGGGTTTCCATGTCTCACGTCTTGCCTACGACTCCTCCTGAAATATTTTGCAAAAACAAAATGTTATTTCCAAGATAGCTACATTACAGATAAACAGTCTTTTATTTGTGGGTTTGGTTTGTGTTTTTACTAGGTCAACTGTTAGAGATAGTTCATGACCTACATGAGTGTGCTTCATTGTTGCCAGGCTTGCTAGAGTGAAGATACTGTTTAAGTGACTAATCAGTTTGCTGAAGTTTATAAAATGGTTGTACTTTTGCTTGGTAAAGTATGTTTTGCAATGGAGGTGTGGAGATGGAAGGGTTGAGGTGGTGCATTAAATAAACTGTTGTAAGAGGTAATATTCAAAGAACCCTCAGCTGGAACTCTTCATAAAGACAAGCACCCAAGAACGAGATGTATTAGAGTCACTGTGTTCATATCTAACGCACCAACAGAAAATTATGATATAGGGCATGTTCCCTCCTTGATTTTGGCAGGCATCTTATTGTTGTTGCCTGCAGCCACCTTGGTAGCAGAATGACTGAAATATCCATCCAGAATGGTGGAGAGTTAAGATTCAGTTCTGTCCTCCTCTGCTTCAGGGTATGTGACTATTTCCAAAAGATACTCAAACTCACCAAGTCTCAGAATACTTCTAAATGGGACTGCTGTGTTCTGAACTATGCACTAATCACTCACAAGATCAGAAACCATGAAAAGCGCCTGGAGCTCTAGTACCACTGAGTGAAGGGTGATGCCTTTATGGCTACATTATACCAGGTACTGCACAAACACTCAGAGACAGTGTTTATCATCCTGTGTCACCTGATCCTTCACTGCACTGTTTTAAAAGGAAACATTTGAAAGATGATGTTTCAAAAGAGTAATTTCTTACATTCCAAGTATATTTTTGATGGTAAACATCATCTTATGTCTTGAGTTCTTAACCTTTGTGAAGTATTTATGGGAGTCAAGGGAGACAACAAAAGATTTCTGAGTGAATTTCAGGAGTCCTGGGCTATTGTGAGCTGTTCTGCACTGCCAGAAATGGCACACTGCTTGCATTAAGCAGTTCTGAGAATGTAAACTTACAGTTTGATATCTGTTATATAAAAAAAAAAGAACAGTTGAGAAGGTGGTGGTTAGAAAATAAAGATAATACTGTCAGGTGTTTTGAGGTTAATCAATATTGGATGAGGAACCAGGGTAATCCATGGGAATGGGAGACTGAAGTGTCAAAAGAAGCAAATAAGCAAACGTGCCCAGCAGATACTACTGTCTAGACTATGGGATGTGGCTATAATTACCAATATTTTCTCCTTCATAATCTCTCATGAGATAAAGGGACAAGTCATTTCCTTCACATATGAAAACCAGGTATTTCTCCATTCAGTTTTAGGTGCTTATTTTGGTTTGATATAAAAAGCGAATTGCAAACAAAATGTCAGCATGAAACCAAGCCACAGTGGAAATAACCCTGGGTGTATATAATGGCAATTGCAAGGAATCTACGGGCAACTGAATACTGCTGTCTGTATACAGCAGTATATCTGACTGCTCATTATATCTTTTGGCAGCTATGTTAGTGTAGCAGTTAGGTGGCCTGAGACTTGGGGATTTGGCTTGTCTTTCCTCCCTCTCCATCTTCTGACCTTTGTTCCTTGGAAGAAAACAATCAGTTTACTGACAGGAGGCTGAATATGCTGAGTGAAAGCAGTAAAAATCCCAGGTATTTTACTAATTGCTACATGGCCAGGTTAGTCTTTACCTTTTAATCTCAAATAAGGAATGAGTCAAGAAAATTTTGCAGTAGCAAAAGTAATCGTCTTTAATCCCAAGGGATGACATTGTCATCAGCTGGTTGGGTCACTGGAGCAGACCCAGGCTTTGCCTGTTCCTGTCTACTGTTTGCCCCACGTAGCTAAAGGAGTAAAGCCCATTAATTGTTCCTGGTCTTCTACATCTGCAGCTCAGGTGAAGGCAGCGAGCACAGTGGCACAGAGTGGGTAAAGCTCTGGCACACATCTGGAAGGTTTGTCTCCTTTGCAGTTAAGACCTCATTGTGTATTCTGCAGCTTTGTTTGTATATGAAGTGAAATCTTAGTAACACAAGAGCTCTACAGCCTCCTGCTATTACATATTTCCCTTGGGAGGAGGAAAGAGGTTCCTGTTTTGCATAAGAATTATGAGATGGACTATTAGCTCTGTTGTAAATTAAAGAGAAACTGCTTTCCCTGCCTGCTTTAATAAATCTCCTGTCAAAAACCCCAAATCTGCAGGCATTACATGGAAATTACATTTGCCTAAAATTTGCCTTGAAATAATTCTTCTCACTTAGGAGCAAATGAGGAACAGTAAAAAAAAAAAAAAAAAGACTTTGTTCCTCAGACAGCCCGAGAGATATTCTGCTGTATTAAGGGCTATCATAATTGCATTCATAGTGAGCAATTGAATTTAAACAAAGGGAACAAATGTTTCCCTGATTTTGTGTGCATGAGACAGAAAGATTAATATTTATGATTAGGAATGAGGTTTGGGGTTTTTTCCTTTTTTTTCTTCTTTTTTTTTCACAGACAGAGTGGCTGGACATTGGAATAGGCTGCCCAGGGAGGTGGTTGAGTCACCATCCCTGGATGTGGTTAAAGGTTGTTTAGATGTGGTGTTGGGGGATACGGTTTAGGGGTCAGCTTTGGGGAGAAGGATTAATCATTGGACTCGATTATCCCAAGGGTCTTTTCCAATATGAATGAATCTGTGATTCTATGATTCTATTCAGCCCATGACTTTAAATATGAAAAGGCAAGCTCCTTATCATGCACTCTTGCAGCATACACTCCTAGGTGATGAACAACGCCAAGCACAACAGCTAAGGAGGTACTGTTTGCACGTGCTCCTCCCTGAAAGGAATGACATCCCACTTCTCCATCACACGACAACATCCCAGGCTGCACAGCAGAACAAAAGCCCTTCTTTCCTTGTAGACCTCACTGGGCTGCTTGATACTGCTCACCTTTTCCCTGTGGGATAGAACCTGGAGCAGGAGCTGCCATCCCAGGCACAGTAGGGATCTCGGGCGAGGCAGCAGTCAGCGCAGGCGGTCCCATAGATGTGGCAGCGATGCAAGGACACCTGGGTGACCCCTTCATCCGAGCTCACGTACAGCTGTTGCTGTAGAAGGAAACGGAAAGATTTATGTCAGATGAGGAGAAGCTTCACCCAAGACTCAGCTAACACACCTAAAAACCTTTCAATTCATTTTGGACTTAAGACCAAGCGGGGAGCCACTAATATGCATAAAGCCAAGATAAACAGAAATGTCCCAGGTGGACAGGCCTATAATATTTCCACCTTCCTGTTAGAAAACACTTAGAAACGCCAGGGAATGTTAATGGGTTTTGGACATTGAGTGTCATTGTTCTGCTCTGGGGCAGACAGGCTGAGTTAATATTGCTCAGACTGGAGAACTTGATTCTTATTCAGTGAGGATTATTGGCTCAAGCCTTTGAACTAAGTTTTTTCTCTGCATATAGTCACTTCTATGAACATTACGCAGAGTTCCTAGTTGGATTCTCCAGTACACAGATTTCCAAAACATAAAACTTAGAGATTATGTTGAGGCTTAGGGCCAGATTCTGATAGCCTTACGTACCTGGAAAAACAAGCCAAAAGAACTTTCATAATAAATGAGAACTTTCATAATAAATGAAAGCTTTAGCAAAAGGAGTTCAAAGTGAACAGGTCATCACCAAAATCTGGGCCAAAATGACTTTTTCTCAGAAACAATTATAGCATTGTTTCAATTCTTAAAACATAAATTAAATAAGTCTGGGCCAAAATGACTGTTTTACTAAGAAACAATTAATTAACTGACCAATTTTTTAAATATAAATTAATATTGAAAAAAAGCCCTTAAAACTCCCCTGATCTTTTTGTCATAAAACTAAAAAAATTACATGAATTCAAATTACTGATTAGTGTTTACTTATTAGTAGTTCTGTAAAATATTGAGCAACATGTTGTTTGCAAAATCATGGAATACATAGTTTTAGTTTGAATGTTTAACTTTTTAGCAGAAATCCTCTCAGCTGTTTCAGTCTTTCTTTATAGTAGTTATTTATTACTAATAAGTGAACACACACCATTGCGCCATGGACCCAACAGACCCACCATCTGCCTTTTTGCACTGATCAGACTTCCAAGGGAAAACTTCTGTTTAGGATGTATGGAAAAAAGGGGAGGGCAAATTTTCTGTTCTAGTACTTTTTTTTTCTTAATTGTCAAACAGAAGCAACAAAAAATTTGACACTTTCAGAGAATTTGAAATTGTACATAATGAATAGAAGTAGTTTTATCTTGGTGGCATGTAAACAGCTCATGCAAACTTCAGCCAAGAATCTCCATATTCATTATGGAAAATCTCCTGCCTATATTTAGTATGCTGCACAACAACTGGTATTCCAATGTTTTTAAGTCAAACTGCTTCTCAGTTAATAAGCACCAAGTAAGTATTCCACTTTTCTTTACCTTTTTAGATGAAATCTTCATTGTTGTTATAGGAGAATTACTCTGAAAGACAAAATTCCAAACCACATTTACAAGGACTGTCTCGTTAATACTGTCTCACCATTAAATTTTAAAATTCAATGAAACTTTACTGATATCTAAGAAAAATATAACTTTTCATATCTTGGAAGGCATCACTCACCCCTACACATTTTTTGCTATTTTGGCTAAACACAATCACATTATTATTACTCACGTGCATCAACAAGTTTTTGTACCCTTCTCATTATCCTGCGTTTATACTACCTCAGCAATATGGGAGCAATGTATTTTGACGCCACTGCTCTCACTTTGTAATGTGAAACAATGTTTGTTCTTCGATTATGATGGTAAGGAAAACTCATACACTAGCTTCACGCGTATTTACCACATGATCCTGATAAGATATGTCATATTTCTCCTACACATTATCTACAGTGCATACAGCTTGGTTACCATCCAACATATACGTTCAGATTATCAATGACTGGAATATTAAAAATGGAATGTGTGTTATTGAATGTTTCTTTCCCAGGGACAGTACTGTATACTACTGTGTGTCATCGCTGCAGTCTATTATTGCCGGTGTCCAAACCAAATGTTAAAAGAGCTGGAAAAGGAATTATCACATTCACTGCCTTAGGCAATGAAGCAGTTCATTATTCTCATCCAAACAAATGATAAAATTGATGTTAATAAAAATGTTCAGCATTTTTTTAAGCTTTAGCATTTACTCAGTCACAAAGGAAAGCCATAACAGTGGGCTAGGGTCAATTGCAGTGGACTACAAGCACAGCAGGGAGGCCAGGGCTAGAAAGTCTGGCTGTGGATCATGTGAACTGGCAAAGGTTCGAAAGAGTTTAGAGCTGCTGTAGTAATTTGTGAATTATCTGGACACTCAAGGTCAAATACAACATTGGATCTGATGCCACATTCTCCTTTCCTTCTTGATACTCTGGAAAGGAATCAGTGCTTTGCTTGCTCTCCATATTTACTAGCCAACAGCCAGTGAGCCTGTTACTGCTCTCTTGGAGAGACCTACCAAAAGTACTGCCCTGCTGCCCACACAGATTGCAGTGGGAGAGGTTATGATATCATGATTTTTAGGGTTTAGGATAAAAAATATCCAGAACCTAGGTTTTGGGTGAGGATTCCTCACAGCCCACCTATCTTCTTGCTGTTTTAATTTACATTCGAGTAAATGGAATTAGTAACACTGGGGTGAAGGGTACTACTCACATCAATCTTTTTTAAAGGGAAGTCTTCAACAAAAGCCTAGGAAGTCTAATTATGCCTTTATGAGGGTTAATACAGAGTGTATTCCTTTTTTTAAAGAAATTGTTAATGCTGCCTGTCCAGATAAATAAAGCTTAAATTTTCCTTTTTGTATACCTCAGTAAAATAGAAAAAAGCCCATGACAAAACCCTTAACTAAATTTGTAGCTGCATACTACCATTTGTCCCAAGACTACCTGTTTTAAAGAATAGCCCATTCAAAAATTTGAAAGGGATTTTTCAACATGAGGGTGAACATTTTCTTTAGGTTATTACAAGCTGCTACAGGCCAGAATGATTGACAGAGGCTATTCCCTTATTCCTCCTTGTAGTTGTTTGTGTTTCTTTTCAGCTTATGTTGTGTTAAGCCTGTAGCTTTTTGGACTCCAGAGGCATGAGGCTTTGAAAAACTGGAGTTAAGCAAAAACAACACTAGTTTGCTTCCATTCTGCATCTCACAATCAGGAAGATTATCGGATAATCAAAAAGGATAAAAATTTTAGTTTCCATCTGTAAATAGTGACAATTTCAATATGTGACGCCAATGATAAAAATTGCCTTCTGGCAGCCACTATAAAATGACCTCATAAAAAATGTGATTATCAAATTCCTTTTGTCAGTATAGTAACATAAAAAATATGCAACTTAAATACAGGGGGGGACCTAAGCTAGCTACAGTCTTCTTAACAGTGGAAATTTTATATTCCTCTTTCAGTGGGTATCAAGCTGCATTTACTTGTCAGGTCACAGTTGCCCTTGCCAAAGTCTCTCAGAACAAAGTATTTGTGTGAACATACATATTGGAAGAGTAAAAGTAGGAGCAAGTCAAACCTGAAAAACTTCCATCTCTTCTAAAATGAGTTCTCCACTTGCAGAGAAGTTGGTGGGTAGGACAACAACTTTTTGTACGGTTCCTTGATCTGGAAAAGATAAGAAAAAGTGAGACCATGTGACAGAGACAGAGAAAGAAAAATGCGGATGAACCATTATCAGTTATGAAAAGAAACCACCGAAGCAAGCACTATGACATAGAAAAAGGTTACGACATGTTCAGTAATTTCTAGGGTTTGGGATCAGAACGAACCATCAGATGATTCCTTATACAGGGCTATTATATATAGTACTGTTTACATATATGAATATGAAGAAATAATGGTAGTCTTGGAGTTACTATGTTTGCTGTTTCCATTCTATCCAAAAACATCAATCAAAATCAGTATCTTCTGTGGCAGTTGCTGTACAGATACAGATAGAGGCAGTATTGATCTTAAATTAAAATCACACCAATATAAACAGGTAAAAGTGAGCTACTGCAGAATTTAATATATATTCATATTCATTAATAAAATATAAGAATTGATGACATGAAAAGTAAACCTTCCAAAGAATAACTCTATCTACACCTAAACAAAGTCATATGAAAGGTTTTTTTCCAATAATCAAGTTCACTACCTAAGGAAAAAAGGAAAAGCGAAGTGAAAGTATTGTGGCTACTCTACCATGGCTGCCCTCTCCAAATACCATTCCAAGCCTCTCAAATCCACTCAGATCAAAGGATTAATAAGTATGGGGCAATGGCAATGTTTTTGCAGGGTAGGTGTCATGAGCGAGACCAAAGTGACATTTGTGATTAATTTTCCAGATTTGTTATGTGGAAAGAATATATCAGAGGCAAGGGTCCATGTGTGAAGGCCCTCAGAGGCTGAGACAGCCACAAAAGAACTTCTGATGTGACAGAAAAGCCAGGCTGTGGCAGAATCACAAGGAAAAGCATTTTTACTTGGAAGAAGTATAGCAAATAGAATTCCTCTTGCCTGAAAGGCCTGGAAATTAGTCTGGAGTAGAATAAATTTATTTGCTCAGTATTGATTCTAAGGAGTGAGACCACATGGTACAGATTCTGTTCGGTCTTCAAAAGTTTTATGAGCAATACAGACTTGTGTAGCTAGTAAAACATTACTATAGCACAATATAGGTATCTACATGTATTTTTATGAATTTGTGACTGAGGAAAGGAAATGTCAGCTTCCTGTTTGGCAATTCAGGATGTAGACAATGTAAGCTGTCTTGTTACAGTAAATAATTTACATCTTCTTATCTCCCTGGAGGAATACAGAAAATAATAGTATTCTTTTTTTTAAAAAAAAAAATTAAACCCAGAATATTGATATGTAATGACCTGACCACATACAAAGCACATTGGTATTTTGTCATGTAAGACCCAAAAGGAGAAGAAGAGAAACTGAAAGCTGACAAGACTTAAAAAATATGTAGCTATCAATTGTACATGTTCAGAGAACGATAGGCACAAATTTCTTCTGAAAACTTTCTAGGGCGAACATTTATTCTCATTATACAATGGCACGATAAAACAGTTCCTTCCGAAGAAACTTTACTGAAACTAAATCTTGTGATAGCACAACTGTGGTCTAGCCTAGGTGCCAGTATTAGCAAAGCTATGAGAACCTGAGAGAGATTTACTAACTGCCAGGACCCACCAAAGCTTTAAAGTGCTGCAGATGCATCCCTCGTTGGAGCTGAGGAGAAGCACAGGCGCGTGTGTGCGCGTACTTGTGCTCCTTCTGAAGGGAACGACCCACTCCCAAACACACACCCCTTAAGTCCAGTCTGCCTCTGCTTCTTTACATCCTCCTAACAATGTCTTCTGTTTAACATTAAACTATACCATAATAATACTGTATCAGAAGTGAAGGAATGGGTTCCAGCCTTTTGTGAGGTTTTTTTTTTCAGTTGCCTGCAAAGTGTCAGCTACCTGTAATCCCGACATACCAGGCACTGAGCATGTTGACAGTGACCTCACCTGCCAAGGAATGTGAGGCTGCTGAGCCTCTGAAGAACCGGTTTATTTCAATGAGCCATTAGCACATGCCACACATTTAAAATTCCTAAATTGTCTTCACTCCTCAAACACTGCCCTGAACTGAAATCAGAACCTGAGGGGAGATTTTATCCTGGGCATTGGCACAGAAAATACTGATAATGCCTGACGCCAAGTCCTTGTGTCCTAATAACCTTTCCTATTTGAAAAGTGGGTTCCTATCTACCTTTTTGTCACACCCCAACAAAACACACAGAGTTAAGGAATGTTTACCTTGATATTCATTCCCTTTGACTCAATATTTTACCATTCCCTTTGACTCAGTATCCTACTACAACGGACAGATTTTTGCAGAAAGGAATGATCCAACGTTTTAAAGGAAAATTAACATTTCAAATAAACATTCATGTTAGGGAAAGTAGGCAATAGAAAGGCTATTCATTAAATAAAATCTCTTTAAACAAGGAATTCCAATAGACTCATATATATACATACTTCCAACAGTACACAGTTTATAGGCTATAGCACTTCACCACTTCTAAAAATAGGTTTTCTACTTTTCCTCAACCTTTTCCTTAATAAATATTTGTGCCCCAAAATCACTTTTTACTCCTTTCTCAGCAGTACTAGGGTCTCCACTATAAGCACCATAGCTGACAAATCAAGTCACTTATAAAGGTTCATGTCAGAAAGCTTTTGGTACATCTGAGTATTGTTGAAAATTTTATTTCCTTTAACAGCAAGGCTGCGAACTAAATTCCTTGGGTTAGAAGGAATATTGGAAAGGATGCAGCACTGTGCACCGCAGGAGATATATGCAAAGTAGAAGTGCCTGAGCTGTTTCCTAGTGTTTTTCACAACAGTCAATCTTTTGTGTAGTAAGCCATAAGAGATCACCAAACAAGTATAAGTCAAACATTTTCATGTTTAGGCCAAGGAATGAAATTATAAGCTAATTCTGTAAAAATCATAAAAGTGAACAGGATGGTTTCCTTCACCATTTACTTTTTACTTCCAGAAATCCACTTGAAAACTGTTCTACATTGTTATGATTCCACATGAAAAAAAACTACTGTGTCTCCAGAATGTCAAATCCACCACTGGAATGCATGAAGTGAAGAGGCAGATTTATGCTCACCACTTCCCTGACTTTTCACCAGGAGCTGTTTGCAGCCCCACATCAGCCCAGCAGTCTGTGAGTTGAGGACAGACAGACAAATGAGGAGGAACCTGTCTCAAGCTGATGGCAAGAGGACAAGAGCAACTGATCATGTTGTTCTGTTTTAAACCTGCTTGAATGACTGCAGGTGTCCCAGACTGATGTGGAAGACCATGTTACTGAGATGGTGTTCCCTCTGAGAGGCCTGAGAAATGGAATAGCAAAGGAGAGTGCTAACATCCTGTAGTCTAAAAAATGGTGTAGAGTATGCACAATGGGAAAAAAATGGAGAAGGAAGGCAGTCCATAAAAGACAAAAAAAAAACAAGCAAAAAATAAAACAGAATCCTTGAAATGCAGGGCATGATTCTGCACTAGTATTAATCAGTTAAGCTTCGCTGACACCACTATGAACATGACGACACTAAACCCCATTCTGGCTGACCATGGGCAATGGAAAAGGCAAAGCTTAATGAAAAGCAATGAAAAATACACAGGTGTTTTGCTGAATCTGCAGGTCTGAGTATAAACCTTGTTCTCTGAATTTCACCCAGCTGTTCTTTCACCAGCCCTAGGTGAACACTGCACTCGCCAGTACTGTGAGCCTCAGAGAGAGTCAGGACCCATCCACCCCTGAACCACATCCCACAAACGAATGACAAATAAAATCCCTGACCTTTCTACATCATGTAAAAATGACTGCAATGGACACCAACTGCTACTCTGACAGGAGTTTCAGAGAGGCTTCCTGCAGTAATCCCCGCCCTGATGTATCTGATGTTGCTGGAGACCCTCTGGAAACCTTTCTTGGTGTTGTACCTGTCAGCCTAGTGACAGCTGAATTATTTTTGGTCTCTTAATCCGAGTCGAACCTGATACAAATAAGTAACATTATGAAGAAAAAAAAGAAAGCAAGGAGCTTAAAGAATGCTTAGAATCACTCTGCTGTGAAAATGCTGAGGCTCAGCAGATCACCTGAGATGGTGGCAGGTTAGCAGCCAGGGCTGAAAGCCTGGTCCCTACACTTTCTGCTGTCCTCAGGTGTCTGCTGTAAATCAGTCAGAGCTCCCACCACAGCCACTCAACCCCTCTATGCTTTAGTACACTCATCTGCCTAATGGGTCTAATTGTTTTCCAGCTCATAGTATTGCTGTGAAACCTTGTATAATTCAAGCCTCATCAAAGAACAAACAGACAGATACAAAAGGCTACCACTTGAGGGCAAAACTTTCACGTGGTCCCAGATGGGTCAAATCTTTGGGACACACTGTGAACTTGTTTGAACAAAAACTGCGCAGGAGAAGTTAAAGAGGTGGAGGAATGCTCTTTTAATGTATCTTCTTAAAAGGCTGTGAAAAGGCTTTGGATGAGGTGGCCAACAAAAGACTTTGAATGACTCAGGCACTATGACCATGAGGAAGAAGGAAACTCTGTCTGCTGCCTGTCGTGCCACTGTTGTGCAACATTATCTTCCCAAGCGCACAGTCACAAAGCTGCAGCCAGCAAACCTATGGGAAGCAAGCTTGTTGTTCTGAGCAGATTATCTTTCTCTGTTACAATCTGTAGCTCATTACATGATTTTGGCTATTGCATTACTGGAGGCTACCGTTGTCAGCAAGGGTTAGTTTTCCAAAAAGACAGCCATCATGCAACACCATGAAAATGAGTATTACAAACTTATGCTCAGAAGGCACTTAGTGCATCCAGACTTTGAAAACAAGCATTGCATCAAAGAGGAAAATATAATAAGAAACATTGATCAGCCTCACGCCACATCAGATGCATGTGGCCCACATTAATCATCTGAATAAGCTACACCGAAGTCTGAAATGCCTTTTCACAACAGTAACGTAGATCTCTTTCCGCAGAAACATACCCTACCTTGATAGCAAGGAGCTGAAAAAAAAACTCTATTGGCGCCCATGGCTGTTTAATGTACCTAAGTTTGACCCAGACATTTAAATATTTTTGTAACAGCTAGAGTAATAAGAAAACCCCATGCATAATCTTTTGGTTGTGCAATCTGAGTGTACTTTGACCGAAGGCTTTCATACTGCAAGCAGTAGGTGGCATGCTTAAAAAATAAATATTAATCTCAGGAAAATGTTCTCATGCTGTTTTACTGCTGTTCTTAAAACTCTGATGGAAAACAATCTATCAAAGGATAAACAGAAAATATTGAAAGCTCAGGTTCTTTAGATATAAATGAAATGAGTGAAGTAATTACAGTAAAACTCTAGGGTGAATCAAAAACTTCAGGACTGAGTCTCGGCCTACCACAGAAATGGAATAATCGAAGCAGAACTCTAACCTCAAATTCCTGAACTGAATATGTTATTACTTACTTCATGGTGAAAAAGTATCATCAGTATCACCCTTGTCAAGTACACAAATGAGTGATTATATTCCATCCAAGTAAATTATCCCCAGGGTTTTTGTTTGGGAAGACAAGGTATACTGCTCTGTTCTCCTGTAGCACTGCGCTCTACCATTAAAGACTTGCTCCTTACTCTAAATCAGCTCATTTCAGAAGGGGCTGAAGAGATCTCTTCAGGTGGACTTAACAAAACTTGCAAGTTTTGTAAGGTGCTCTGAGACTCTTCATGTTGAAAAGCACAGGAGATCTTTATCATTTGAAAAGTGGGTGGAATGCTGCAAGAACAATGTCTGTCCCTGGGATTTATTTTGTTAGCTATGTAGGCGAGGAAGGGAGAAAAGCAACGTATTAGCTGTGGGCATGGAGCAGCCCCTGTGAGCTCAGCACTTTTGTCTGGGGATGCAAAGGAAACACTACATTTAGTTCACTTTAATGTGAAAAAACGACACAGCTGCCTGTACCCTTCCATGCCATGGCTACAGGATGAAAACCACTAGGGTTCCTGGAGCTTTATACTTCTGTTATTCTTCACTTGCATTCAGGAACTGATTTATTACTGAGGCTATAGAGGAGGAAGAGAGGAAAAGCTAAACATTTTGTGTGCTCTGCATCTGGCAAGACATAAAACACCCCAATTTCAAGCATGAGACAGGTCACTGACAGTGACAGACATGCCTGGCAACATCTCAGTTCAGCAGCAGTAACTCATCATCTGAGCCGAGTGTAATTGTCACCAGGTGTCAAGTCCCATTGTCTCCAGCTGTGGGGCTGCAGGCTCCCAAGGAAATTATCACACGAAATTCTCCTATACAGTGTGGTTTTTGCATTCGCTGGGACAAACTGACACCAAAGCAAATCCCCTCTGCATTCCTTTTGACAGTTAATATCTCTATCAAATCCTCTTTAGTCTCACAAAAAGCAGAGAATAAAGAAAACAAGTTTCTCCTCTTAGTGGCTGAAACTCAATCACCTTTATTTAAAAGGACTGAGAAACACAGTAACTTACCATTGCACCAGTTTCTTCTGAGGAAGACCTTGGAAGCTATTCATGTCCTGTGCCCTACTCAGGAAGAATAATGCCTCTCCTCCAACTAACTACAAAGCAGACAATGATCTTTGTCTCCACTGTAATGCAGAAGACAAAGCAATGAATATAAAGTATCAAGAGCTGACGTTTATGTATTTGAGCCATAATGCATCCTGTGCTGATACACAGAGGAGGATTAACAAACCAAAAGAACAAGTTGAGGTATGTTTGAGCAATCTGAACTAGTTGAAGGTGTCCCTGCCCATGGCAGGGGGTTTGGAACTAGATGTTCTTTGAGGTGCCTTCAAACACAAACCATTCTATGATTTTATGTTAATGTTTTTAAAAAATTACAGGTATATGTGTGAGGCCACACTGGTCACTTAAAAACAGTGAGAAGCTAATCAAAGAATAAAATAGAACTACCTGTATTTATATCTTGCAGAATTACTAAAATGCTAAATATCAGTATTGTGCTTTCATGCATATTTCAAGTTTTCATGACATTTCCAGTATTAACTATCATTGCTACATTAACTATCCCATATTGGATGGAAACTTTTATGTCTTTATCTTTTTCACTAATCTTTAGAAGGATTTTCCTCCAATTAACATTAGATGTTTAAACAGCATTTTAAAACAATGGCAATACTATAAAAAAAAAACAACATAAGAAGCAAAACCATAAAACGTTCATCTGAAAGACCTGTACTAGCCTATGGAGCTATTACTCTGGCTAAACACAGTGATTTGTCACGGAATAAAGCTAATGGAAAACCAAACCTCTTTTACTAAGTTGTGGGTTTTTTTGGAATTGTTTAACAATAGTAGGACCAATATCTAATAACAATTCTGATATTTCTACAGCACAGTACAAAGACTTTTTTCTTTAATTTCGTAAGAAAGGAGGAAAATGACCCTAAAGGGTCCTGAACTGAAAACCTGTAGCTGCATTAATCAAACTAAAAAGAAAATGTGGTTACATGTTAGGGAGGGGCATAAAACACCACCTCAAGATGAAAGTCCTGTTCTAATTAGCTTAATTTGGTAGTTTCCAATGATTTTCCAAGTAGGATCAAACAGATCTTAAAGAACATCTTAAAACACAGTTATCTACTGCCAACCAAAAAAACAAAATTACCCAGATCAAAAACTGATGAAATTCCTAATGTAATTCATCATCCAGAGCTTCTTCTACCTTGAAGTCCTTATGCCTTAACCTATGCTGAGCATCCACAAGATAGTGGATGGTAACCTGGTAAAGGTTTGACATAAGAACCTGAATGAAGTGTTTCTGTTTTCCTATTTCCTTTCATAGAACCACAGAAGCCTGTAGGCTGGAAGGGGCTTCTAGAATTCATCTGGTCCAGCCTTGACTCAAAGCAGGTCCAGTTACAGTAGGTTGCTCAAATTCTCCTGGGCTGGGTTTTGAATCCTTTGAGTCTCTAAGGATGGAGAATTCGCAATTTCTCAGGGGCACCCAGAATGTTGCACCCTCCCATTAGATAGTTGTCAACAGCAGTAAGGTCTCCCCTCAGCTTTTGCTGAATAAACACGATTCTGTTGGTCTCCTCTCACATACCACATGCTATGGTCCATCACAGGATCACAGAATCATAGAATATGTTGGGCTCAAGGAGACATTTAAAGGTCATCTAGTCCAATCCCCCTGCAGTGAGCAGGGACATCTTTAACTCAATGAGGTTGCCCAGAGCCCCATCAAGCCTGACCTTGAATGCAGCTCATCTATTACGTCAAAGTTTTCCTTTTATTGAGGAGCCCACAACTGGATGTTGTACTCCTGACAGGAGCTGAATACAGGGGAAGAATCCCTTCCCGTACCCTGCTGACTGGGTACGCTTCTGCTAAAACGGCACAGTATGCAGTTGGCTTCCTTTGGCACAAGAGCACCCTGCTGATTGTGATAGTTGGGGAGCTTTTTCTAAGAAGTCTGAAAAGAGTTCCTTTTATTCCTGCCCCTATAGAAGCCTGACATTCCTAGACATTTTTAGCACCAGCTTCCTAAATCTATTACATCAGGACGGTTATTCTCAGCCCCATGTGAGTTTGCTGGCAGCCACGGTTATTCTACAAGCAGAAAACAACGAGCACTGCAACAGTACATGAACCATAAAAGCAATGCAATCCATTTCTATAATTATTTTCTGATGTTCAGAGATGTATTTGTTCTCCTGGATTTCTTCTCCTTTGTTCTACTTGAAACTAGCTGTAGTAAAAAAGATTAGCCTTTGTGCCTATCAACCTATAATGCCCTGTTAAGGCAGCAAGAGCTTCAGATGTGAATGAATCCTAGGGTCTAGCCAGAGTAACACTCCCCTTGTTTCCTTCAATCAGAGGAGTGTGACTTATTGCTGAATATATTAAATAATCAAAATTGATCAGTACAAGAATCACTTGACCTGTTCCCTGCAGACTTCAGAAGCATTACACCAGATTCAAATTTGATGTAACTAAAAACAAAATGTAGGTTATATTAGGCAGAAATTATTTTTGAAACTTGGATCAAATTCTCTGTGTCCACTACTGCTAGGACTACAACCATTTGTTTCCTTTTCTCTGTCAAATACATATTTTTGCTTTATTACTGTGCAGTTATTATTTCTGCCTTTGTAACACCCTGATCAGATTGTGGTTTTCTTCAGAAGGAGCTCACACAGCATATATTAAATAATGATGATGAGAGAATACAAAACAATACAAAGCCAGATTTTTATATTCTTACTCACGTTAGAGAGCATCAAATTCTAATATGGAATCATGTTGCAGAAAAACCATATTCAAGTATTATAATTTAGATCAAATACAAAACACACTAGTGTTGATTTCTGTCTCAAATAAGATTTGTATCAATACATTGGATGTCTTGCACGTAATTAACATCTATAGTAACCAAAAATACACAGAAAGTAAAAAGAACAATTTATGGACTTCCGTAGACATTTTTGTGGATAGAAAATATGTTTAAAGAAACATTTCTGCAAGCTCTAAATTGTACAGATCAGACTATAATGCCAAGCAGGAAAATTACTCTTGCTAAGTTTGTCTTACCTGTTCCAAGAAACAAGACGTGATATCTTCCATCAGCAGCATTCACTCGATCCACAGCAATCTTTGTATACTTGTAGTCGGCTCCTATCCTGATGATTAATGGCCTCTTGTGTATTGGGTAAATGGGATTAAACATCAAAGGGTGATTCCTGATGAAGGTCACAACATCATCTGGAAACTCTTTGGTTGTCCGCATATTAGGTGTGAAGGCTCCTCCTGGACACTGTAAGAAACATGCACAGTAATGCTTAACAACAGTTTACCATCTTTCAGAGAGTTTTCATCTCGAAGTCATTTACAAATATTGACAGATCGTTGACAAAGGAAATTCCTAAAAGAGCGCTTCAGACTCTGACTGAAAGTAATTATGTTCCAGTAACAAGAATGAAGTGCTTGAATAGCTACACTTTGAACTCCCATCAATTCTGATAAAGCAAACACAAAGGTATTTTTGCACTTTCAGAACCCAGCTTGACGGCAAAGATCCATACTTCTGGACCTATTTCCACATTCTTTATGCTTCCAAACTGTCTGCTGAAAAAAAAATATCCAAGTGATTGGTATGGGAAGATACTGAACTTTCGAGCTGGTTTATTATACAATTAGTACAAAAGCAAAATGTAAAATCTGGTACTTATCCATAATTTGCTCAATAGCCTTCTAATCATTATGTTGATTATGAGATGGTAAGAAGGGCTGTGACTCATATTCATCTGAAAAAGCAATAAGAGGGGGTTGATGAGGGGGTCCTGTGACAACTCATTTATATCTGAAAAAACTGACCACTCATAGGATCTTGTCTATATTTTCCCTCATGCTTGAGAAATAACAGAGGTCCATGAATACTCTGGATACTTCTTTAAATGTAATGAAGAACCACCCAAATAATCAGCCCTGGGGCATTCTGAACTTCATTAGGAAATAAAAGCAAACTTAAAAAATTCAAGTGTTCACAGAGTATGAATCTAAAATAAGACTGTGGGAAGAAATCAGAAGCTATGTCAGTAACTGTTACAATGTTCTGGATGTACCTATGTTAATTTAACTGACTTTTTTTTCAGCTACTATTACCTCACTTCTTATTGCTGCTCCTGAGCTTTCTTTTCCCCTCCTTACCAGACTTCTGAGCTGTGAAACTCTCCACACAGTACCAGGGCTATTCAGAGATGTTTCAACACAATATTTTTCCAATTGGAAAATGTTGATTTGTTCAATACAAAGCATTTCATGGAAACTTGTTTATTTTGATGAGGACCATTCCTACATCTAGGATGGAATTTCTGGTCAAAAACCGCAGACATAAAAATAACTAGTAGCTTAGGGAGAGATTTACCTCACCTGACTTCTACTGTTTCAAAGTCAGGCATTTATTCTTAGTTAACCATCTAGGTTTCCTCTGTAGTCAGTAATTCAGACTACGTGCCCTGCTTTTAGATGGCTAAAATTACACAAAATGAGTCATACTCTGGGAGACGAGGAAATTCGCTGGGGATATGTGAGTCATGTATTCAACCTACCTGATGTAAGCAAATGTTAGAATCTGGGTCTTCATATCCCAGAGGATCCCTCTAACCACCTGGCAGGAGTCTCTGTTCCACCCTCCCTGCTAAAAGCTGTTCCATCTTGCGCACCTAATAAACTATTTATTGGGCAATATCAGGAACCAAGTAGAGAGGGAACTGCAGCCTAATCCCAGGCTTTAGAATCATCTTCTGGCTCAGTTAGGATTTAATTATTTACATAAAATAGAACAGCTTTGGTAGGAATTCTTTAGAAACTGCTCTGGCATGTTACCTTCAGGAAGAAGAACTGGAACTCAGATCAGATATGGGTCTCTTTTCTCATCTGACACGCTTGACAACTGATTCTTCTGGACTCTTATTTATCCTGAGGGTTTTGGTTTGGTTCTCATTAGAAATGACACTACATGTTAGACCTCTAAGATTGCTCACAAAATTGAATTCTTATTGTTTGCTCCTTCCCTCTGTGGCAATTCCATCCACAGTCTTCCAGGAAATGTATGGAACTATCTGCTAAGATTAGCAACAAATGATGAAAAAAGAATGGCATTCATAAATTTGTGGGCTATTGGCAAGATTATTTTACTTGGTAGTGATCTGCCAGACCCCAGTTCCTCTCCAGAAGGATTTTGTTTCATGACCAGTTCAAACTGAACTTTCCTGTCTGGCATTGCTCAGTAAAAAGAAGACTTTCTCTGATTCTTTCTAAGCTTCCATCCTCGAGCTGGAGATCACAGGACCTTTGTCTGTGACCTTCTGAAAAAACGTCTGTGCTATGGTTCACCTCAGCATGACTGTAAAAACTTACATTATAATGTTGTTCTGAGCAAAGCCATAACAAACATCTTTAATTAATTATTTTTTTTGTTAACCTCAATATAAATTAATGACAAGCAAAAGATATTACTGAAGAAACCTATAAGGTCTCCCTTTCCTGGAGGGATTGAATGTGTATCCTTCATACCTCATTCAAGGACTTGGCTACATGATACTTATGTTCACAGTTGATCACCATGCAGTTAGATTGCAGAGAGAAGCAGAATTCTTTCATTTACAGCGTATTCCCCAACATGCTGTAGGTACAAAAACTATTTCTGTAAACTTTAAAAAATGGAAACTATCCTCAAACATCACTGAATTTAGTAACAAGCTGCCAATTATGTATTTCTTTTTTCTTTCTTTTCCATAAGTAAGTTTTGCTTGTGGAGAAATAAGAAACCATTGGTATTTAGTGAAGGGCAGCCAAACACTGTGGAGCTGACTATGGCCAAATGAACGTATTGCTATATCTAATCCTACTGAAGCTACACCAAAGGTTTTTCATTGTTTATTCAATGTACTTCGATAAAATGAACATTCATTTCTGTCCAAAGGCTTAGTATGAATATCTCTTTAGGCAACTGTAAAGTACGATTTCCTATGCCGTATAAAAAGGCATCTCTATCTAGTCCAGCACCGCAGAAGTTGTAAAAACCCTACATTCTTGAGGCTTGTGCTCCATAGCTTAAAAGCATGACTATTCAAAGTTAACTTTTGAACACAAATTTTGAGCAGCAAAAAAATCCCCTGACCTTATTTTTACAAATTCTTTGACATAAGTGAAAAACAGAGTTTGTGGTATGCATTTAAAAGTGGGCCTTTTTGGCAGTGATATAAAAGCAAAGGCAACAAGTCCCAACTAAGAAAATACACCTTTAGGATACTGTGTTGTGGCTGAATTGTGAGGAAGCACAGAAAGTCAGTGATCAGAAAACCAGTGACAATCATCTTGAAAGAATCTCTTTTGGCTTTATGTGTTTTTTTTTTGTGTGTGTGAGCTGTGATCTAAGAATTTCAGAGCTCACTGGCATATCTGAAAAACATAATTTTTGTCACCACATTAAATCCAAATCTGAATTTTCTTTTTCCCTTTCCATTGTGCTGCCCAATTTCTTCAGGCCACCTGGAATACCTCATAAGTCTCCATGAGGCAAACCAAGAATAACATGGCAGTGGCTGAGGAAACACACACAAATACAATATTCTTAAGCAGCAAGAAACTCTGAAATGTGACTAATCATGAGAGTGTAAAACTTCCTGTTTAAATGGGCCATTTATTTTCTCTTTTTTAAAGGTTAAGCTTAAACCTCAGTGAACTCATGAGATTAAGGCTGTATAAATTAACTGCAAAGAAAGAACAGTGCTAGCATTAGACCTTAGTGGAATATCAAGTATTGATTAGATAATTCTAGGGATCTGGGAAAATAAAGTTTTAAATCTTATAGCCAGTAATAACTGCACTGAAGTGTCATGAAGAATTGTGTGAACAGGCAGAGCTATTGCATGTACCTGACCATTAGCGTGTGAGAGAGAAAGAAAGAACAAGATGTATAGCATAAATATGTATATGAATGAAATTGTGATATGGTTAAAGGTTCTTGCAGTGACTTGCAGAATTAAAATAAAATTTGTTCCTGTGATAAATGGAAAAGCAACACAGTGCTCATCTAAAAAAAAATTTAACTATAGTGCAGAGAGATTATTTTTGATTCTATGGATATTTATTTAATTCTGATACTTAAGAAATTGCAAGAAGACTTCACAGGAGTCAATCAAAGTCCACGCTACCATACTTCATTTAGCAAATATAGATTTAGAGAAGATTTGGGTTTAGACTGGATATTAAAAAAATTATTCACCAGAAGGGTTACCAAAGATTGGAACAGGCTGCCCAGGAAAGCAGCAGAGTCACCATCCCTAGAGGTATTTATAATAAGTCCTGCTTAGGAACATGACTTAGTGGTGGACCTGGCATAGTTAGATTAATGGCTGGACATGATGATCTTAAAGGTCTTTTCCAACCTAAATGATCCTATGATTCTATGATTCTAGAGAAAGCTCATACATTCCTCACCAAAGCCAGAAATAATAGAGTTCATACTTCTGCTAAATCTAAATTAAGTCTACTGTAAACAAACAAACATGTAAATAAACATAAAAGTGCATCAACAGCAGTTTTTATGCACCATAAAGGTGAAAAATAAACAAACCAACCAACCTATCTTGTTTAAAATCTTCCACAAGATACTTCCGCAAAACTCAGAAACAAAGCTAGCTCTAACGTTGTAGAATTTATTGGGAAATTATTCCTAACTGTGGTAAAATGACAAAAAGTCCTGAAAAATTTTCAAGGAATACAAAAAGCATTCTTAACAAGGAGGACTACTATGAACTGATTGGCATGAAAGCTCCTCTATTTCTAGATCTCTCTTCCAAGATTTAGTACCTGACAATTAGACCTAGTCAAATGACAAGTCCCAAAAGCTTTGCTCTCCTCTTACATCTCCAAAGCATCCCAGCAGAGCTGCAAAACTTTAAACAGCTATGGAAAATTCATACACACTGAAGACAGACTTACAAATATTTAGATCCAGCCTGTGGAACACACTCACAATGCTGTCTTCGTATGTTCATTTATTCAGCTGTCTTTTGCTCAAACTTACATGCAAAATGTAAATGTACATATAAACAAAGAACTGTTATCTAACGAAATAATTCTCACCACTTTTTCATCAGAAGGAGCAATTATGATTAACATTTTGCATGACTTCTAATTCTTTCTAGAGGACTGTCAGATATCATGTGATTTGTATGGCAAGCTAAGAAGCAAATAAAACTGTTCTGAACTGTAACTGTCCTAGTCACATACAGTCCATTCTCCTTGACTAAATAATATTTATTTATGTGTTAAACAAAGACAAGTAATTGGCAAGCCTGCACAAACATCTTTGTACTTACAGTGCCAGGTCGCGGGTACGGAATTCTGCCCTGATATGGAATCAGCTGGTGGTTTGGGCCCTCCTTGTGTGCAAATGGCCCATTGAACACAGTCTGGATGTCAGATAGATGATACACACACACAGCTGAGCCTTTAAATATGGAGCTGGAAGACAGGAGGAGAAAGTTAGCAGAAATCTGCCAACTTCTGCGTAGTTTTTCCATCATTTTGCAAGATCCAATGATGAAAGATACCTCTAAAATAACATACTTAATATGATTTAATGCTTCTATAGCATGGATTTAATACATTAAACCCAACTAATCTAGCTTCCCAATATTCACTGTTACTCATTAAGAACTAAAAATGAACTGAAAAAAGAGGGAGGAAGGTACTACCCTATTGGTGGAATAAGAAAATTTCCTATTGTTGAATATAAAAGAAATATAATCTGGTCCCAGTTAAACCAATGGCAAAAATAACGCTGACTACAGCGAGACAAGAGTTTTATAAACTTTGTACTGCCAAGCTCAGCACAGGTTTCCAGAACGCCCTACCAGTATAGTAACCACAAGACCTCCAGGAGCCTTCTAAAGTACTTCTAAAATATTAATGAAAACATCTAGTGCAATTACAATTGGTTAGATTATTACAGTCAGTTGCCAGCTTTTCTAAGCAAAATGGGGACAGGTTGTAGCTGTAGAGGAATTATTCCTGTACAGTTCTCAAATCCACCCACAAAACTGGTCTTTACAAAGACCCTTTCAAGATGGTTGAAGTTGGATGCTTCCTGAGGAGAATCCAGGAGGTGACCTATGAGATGGGCATGTTTTGCCCATCGCTCAGCAGCAATCTCAGACAGCACAAGTCCTGAATGACCTTCATCACCCCATGATGATGAAAGGCATTAGGGGAATAATTTCCAGAGTGATTTTAATGCTAACTGCAGTGAATTAACTCCTTTTTATCTTCCACTGAACATAAGGTTTGAGATATTTATCCTAACAAAGTGGGATCTCCAGACAGTCTAAAATCTGCCTGATGTTAACTGTAGGATGAAGATAATCCAAGTAACTCTCTGTTTTTAAAACCTGAAGGAAAAAATCTCGAAAACATTACATATAGTATCTAAACAAGGGAAGCACAATCCACATTGCTCTCAGCTACATATGGATCAGTAGGAGGCACCTTTCAGATGGATTATGGTATTTGTGGAAATTTTACTAGGTATTAACAGGTTTTAAGAAATTTATTTAGTCTTCCCAGATGTTTTATGTTAGATTTACAACAGATTATGTCATTAAAATAATTTGCTTCAATATTACTTGATTTTGTTCCATATGGTATAGATAAAAATATGAATAGATATTATTTGCTGGGATACAAACTGGGCACAGAGTGGGTTGAGAG